GAGCCGGCGGCTCACCTCCTCCCTCTCAAAGGCGGACACGAGCGCCTCACAGGTGATCGGGGAAGCTAACTCGTGGTGGAGCTGCGGGAGGCTTTCCGCGCGGTCGCGGTGCGCATATACGTTCTTAAAATGTTCCTGGACCTCGTCAACAGGAATGCTGCACTTCGCGATTGCTCCCGTGAGCACCTCGCGCACCGCTCGCTTCCGATTCGTGCGGAATAAACCCTGGATTCGGGTAGCCTCCCGCGTGTGTTCCTCTCTCGTGAGAGGAGCCGACACCCCCTCCGCTGGGCGCCGCTCTTCGCCTCGCACTCGACCGCGCCGACTCCCTGGACGGGCTCTGTCGCGTCCTGCAGGTCGAGCAGAGCAGCTGGACTGGAAGAAGATCGCCACTTGTCGGGCGAGCTCCTCCAGCCGTTCTGCCGTATCCACCGCCTCGGCGGCCGCCACGAGACGCCTCCTCTCCGCGTCCGCGTCTCCCGGGCGTGGTGACCCGTGAGCGCGCGGACAACGGTCGGAGGTAGCCTCGGCTCGGCCAAGGAGACGGCGGTCTACGGTGCTGTCCTGCTGGACCCCGGAAATACGCTGCGCACCATTTCGCGCGGACCTGTCAGCGGCGCGCGTAGACGATGGCCGGCCCCGACGGCCCGTTGTCGCCCGCCCGGCGCCCCGTTGGACGACAGACGCCGCGGCACATCCGCGAGCACGCCCGGAACCCCCAGAAACGGATACCGCGCCCGCGCCCCCCGGCGCGCCAGCCCTCGCGACGCCCCTTTGTCGCGTGCCATTAGTCCTATTTATGAGTATTATATTATCCGTCGCGGTGTTCGGCCCCGCCCCAACGCCATCATTTTCCCTTTCTCCCCTCTGTTGTACTGGGGAAGAGCCCGCATACGTAGTGGGCGAAGCGCTCGCGTCATCATTAATGGTGTCAAAATTTACGGGGCTAGTTCCGCGGTCAATATAAACGCGACCCCGGGTCGCTCGCATACAATCGTCCGCCACCAGTATGTTGGAACGACTCACCCTGTGTCTGCTACGGTGATTAGAGTGTCGCTCCTCCTCCTCCTGCCGGTCGCCATGCATCAGCCCTTCCGTTGCTCCTCTCGTCCTCCGGCGTCTCCTCGTCGTCGCGCGCGTCCACCCCAGCGGTGACGAAGCCGATGACGACGAACCGGCCGCTGCATGCTCCTCATCCGACGACTCGATTATAACGGGGAGAGGCATTGATGTTGCAGGGGATGTTGGCCGTTCTGTCCTCTCCCCGAACGTAGCCTCCACCCTGGGGGACGCCAGGGTGTTGGGGGCGCCCCCCGCGGCCCGGAGCCTCCTCGCTGGGCCGCTGTTGGCCTCCCTTGGCGGGAGGGTGCTGGCCCTGGTACGCCTTCGGGTGGAGGCCTCGTCTGCGGCGATGATTTTCTTCTCCCCGTCGGTGAGCCTGGGCCTCGTCGTCCTGGGGGTGGACCGCGGAGGCTCGCTCGACGCCCTGGTCATGGCCCTAGTTTGAATCTGGTATGGCGCCGGCTGGGCCGGCAGCGGGGTGACATTGCTGCCGGCAACCTCCGCATTTCCTGGTCCACCCCGGCCGCCACTAGATGGTAAGGGCGGCGAAATCTCCACCGACGGGATCGGCCTTCCGCAGACGGACGTCGTCGTCGTCGAGGTCGTCAGTGTGACCGAGGCGCTGCACGACGTCAGATGTAATGATGGGGGGGTGCCTGAGAGAATCATTGCTGCCCCCCCCCGGGCGACGGGCGATGGGGTAGTAAATGCCCGTGCCAGTCGTACAGAACGCTGCGCCTCGGCCGTGTCGGGCATGCCTTCCCGCGTGACGTCTGCAAATGTGGTGGTCGGCGTCACGCTCCTGGTCCGGTGGGGCGGGACAGGTTGAGGAGGCTCGCTGGTGTTCGGCGCGGTTTCCCGAGCCCCCTTCTTTGCTCTCAAGCTCACAGGGGGCCCCTTGTCCTCTGGTGTCCTCCTCATTGACACTGTCCCGCCGCTTGGTGGGAGGGTGGACGCGCTGGGGCCAGAAGTCGGGGCTGTGCTGCGTCTAAAGATAGGGGCGATCGGCGGCGTCTTCCTTGTTTGGGAGGGGGCAGTGGACACAGGGGAGCTCCGAACGAGGGTGATAGTCCTTGTTACCCTAGTGTTACTTGTTACGGTAGGTTTGGAGGCGCGCGTCATGGCGCCTCCACTGGTGGCAGGCGCATCAACGCTCAGGCGAGCGTTGCCCGGGGAGGCCCTCTCGGCCGACGCACGAGTTGCGTCGGGAGGGCGACGCTTCTGTGCCTGGGTGGTGGCCTGCACCGGGGGCCCGCGGCCGACGGCGGCGACCGTGCCCCTCGCGGTCGCGTTTGTCGCGCCTGTACCGGAGGCACGAGGTCGCGACTTTTCGTGGACGTCGGTGAAGTGCTTCTTCACCTTCCGGATCGCATACGCGCTTCGGTCAGTGAAGGAGCACTCCCCGCACGCCCACTCCTTGTTAATGATGTTCGGATGGTGAAGCTTGACGTGCTTCACCAAATCCTCGTGCCTCCGATACATGCACGATCCCTTTAACATGACTGAGTTTGGTCGGAAACATAGGGGGCACGGCCAATCCGATCCCGCCGGATGAAATAGTTTTAGTGTGTTGTCATGTATCGCGGCTGACTGTCTTTCAGCCGCGAGTCCCTCGGGGCAGGCCATACAATAGAATAAAATAAAATAAAATAAAGTAAGATAGAATCAGATAGAGTAAAATGAGATGGAGCAGAATAAGATATAGTAGATCGATCAAAGTGTTTCTCTTGTACGTGTGTGTGCGTCCCGGCTCGTTGTCGAATAAATTCGTCAATACTGAGTCAATAAGATAAATAAAGTCAGGTAGAATGCCGTTGATTCGCCAGTAATAAAACGGTAGGATAAGGTAGAATAAAATAAAGTACGGTAGAATAAAATAGAATATAATAAAATAGAAATAATAGTAAATAAAATAAAATAGGATAAAATAAAGTACGGTAGGATAAAATAAAATAAAATGAAATAAGAATAATAATAAATAAAATAAAATAGAATAGAATAAAATACAATAAAATAAAATAGAATAGAATAAAGTCGAATAAAGTAGAGTAGAGTAGGATAAGATAGAATAAGTAGTAAGTAAGATAAAATAAAATACGATACAATAGTCAAATAGAGATGCCAATAGGGGCAAGTCTAAGTGTAAAAATGAGGGTAAAGGTGTATACTTAAATAAATAAATAAATAAATAGGTAAAATATGGTTGGACAGACGGACGGGTATTTGAACAAATATGAGAATAGGGACTCAGCAAATAAATAAATAGACGGACGGTTATGGGACGTGAGACAGGTTCACGGCAGGGAACGTAATATATATATTTGTGACACAATTTTACTTTATTTCATCACCAATAGCTTTATTCTATTTTAATATATACCCTTGAGTCCCTTTGGACACAGGCCCTATATGCGGAGGGACAATGCAAGGCCGGATTAACCGTGGTGGCGATTAGTTGTTTGACGG